AAAACAGGGCACAACTGGCATGAGGGCCTCACACCCCACCACAGAGAATCCCGTCCCACCTCCGTACAGCCAGGGGGGCCAGGCGGGGTTTTAAATCATTGGGTGGGAGCCTGGGAGAGCCCAGCCGTACCCAGGGCTGACGTGTACCCAAGCTTGGGGTCGGAGGGTCCTGAAAGCTGAACTTCCACACGCTTCGCCACTGGTCGGGCCCCCCACACCACGTTGGCAGTGACGCTCAGTGTCAGGGGCTGGGGCAGGGCCCTGGAGTGTGCTGTGTGGCTCCCCACGGGGGTTTCCCCCCAAGCCTGGTGTTGGTGAAGCGCCCACCACGCACCACGGTATTTGCCAGGACGCCGAGGCCCTGGCACCCTGCTCCCCCTTTACAAACGAGGAGACGAGCTCAAGGTTCCACGGTCCGGCCGAGGGCCCTCCGCCCTCACACCCAGGGCCGGAAGTTGGCTCCGAGGTGAGCCCCGGACGACTGTCTCACCTCCTTGTTATTGTTGTTGTGGCATTCTCGAGGTTTTGCTGCCAACCTCAGCCCGGAGTGCCGCCGCCCCTTTGCACGCACCCCTGGGTGGATGGGGAGGATCAGCAGGCTCGGACGGCAACTGTTCCTGTCTGCTTTCCCGGATGAAGCTCTTCACGCCCTGCCCTGCGTGCCCTGGAGAGGCCGCCAAGGCCCTGGGTCCGAGTCCCCAGCTCCTTCTGCAAGGCAGTTTCCAGCACGGCTGCTTCATTGGCATATTTGCACCCCAGGTGCAGCTCGGCGAAGGTGGGGCGGTGCCCGGAACAGAGAGACAGAGAGCAGCCCTGAGGACCCACGCCGGCCATGCCCAAAACCATGTTTCTGGAGAGAACACTCACCGACAGAGCCCACGCTTTACAGGGGCCCCAACACCAAGCTCTCAGAGGCCACGGGCGTTTTATTCGCCAAGAAAAATGGGCCTCAGGGCCAGAGCGATAGCACAGCGGGGAGGGCGTTTCCCTTGCACGCGGCCAAGCCGGGTTCGATTCCCAGCATCCCATAGGGTCCCCCTAGCACTGCCAGGAGTAACTCCTGAGTGCAGAGCCAGGAGGAACCCCTGTGCATCGCCGTGTGTGACCCAAAAAGAAAAAAGAAAGAAAAGGAAGTCGTTGGGGGCTAGAGACTGGTGGTGGGGGGGGAGTTCAGAAGTTAGGTAGGAAGGGGACTCAGCCTAGGTAGGACCATAAAAGAGGACCAGGGTGGGCCAGTGATAGACCAGTGATAGTCCAGCGGGTAGGGTATTTGCCTTGCATGTGGTCGACCCAGGTTCGATTCCCAGCATCCCATATGGTCCCCTGAGCACCACCGGGGGTAATTCCTGAGTGCAGAGCCAGGAGGAACCCCTGTGCATCGCTGGGTGTGACCCAAAAAGCAAAAAAAAAAAGAAAAGAAAGAAATGAAAAAGAAAAATGGGCTTTCTGGGAAACAGCCGCCTTGCAGCACTTAACTCCTCCACCCTTTCAGGTCGGCCAGGGGGAGGCCACAGCACCAAGTGCAAAGGGGAGGCCCGGGGAGGGGGTGGGCAGTGAAGGAAGAGCAAGCCCCAAACTACCTCGGGCATTCATCTCACAGACCGTGCCACGCCACGGTGCCTCTGTCCAGAGCAGCGTGCCCAGGGCCTCACCAGGCTCTCCTCACGTGCTACTGGTGTGACCGCGCTGTATTTGCGACGCACGAAGGTGCTCCAGGCGACCCCAGTGGCCCTAGGGACTGTGATGGCCACGAGCAAGACACGGGGAGAGGCGCTTTCTGATGGCACTTGGCCCGGGTCTCAGGGTGAGTTTGTCGTTGTTGTGAGGGGCTGCTCCGGGCGACGCTTGACCGGGGACTACAGAGCTGGCCCGGGTCGGCCCACACAGCTCACGGCCACCGGGCAAAGCCCTCAGTGCCAGTGCTCCAGCTCGGCCTCACGTTTGCAGTTGTGTAATAAAGAACCCCTGGGCCTTAAGGAGACGTCCCGGGGGTTCATGTCTGTGCTCCACCGTCATGCTGCCGACTCTCTTGTCCTGCCCTGTGGCCGTATCACAGGGATACTGCACGCAGGACTGCGTCTGCCTGTGGGAGGACGCTGCCGGCCTGGGCACGGAGAGAAACCATGCAGGGGAGGGTTTTGCTGGCTGGTGCAGAGAGAAGACAGGAAGGCCTGCCCCGTGGGGGCGGTTCCCAGGGCCCGGCATAGAGCTAGACTGGGCAGGGTGCCAGGGCGCTGCCCACACACACCGGGAAGGAGAGGAGGAGCAGGTGGGACTCACGAGACAGCACAGCTGGCGGCCGGGGTTCCGACGGCTGGACGTCCAGGCTGCAGTTTCCCCTGCTTCAAGCCCTGCCAAGTCCCGGCCGCGTCCCCCCACCCCCCCACACCCCTTCCGAAGCCTTGATTCACCGAGTTCTCCCGCAGGAGAGGGGGAGGATGGCGCGAACCTTACAGTTGGATGGTTTCAAGGAGAGCGTCACCGTGTTGGCTCCTTGTCAACTCTGCGATGTAACATTTTGCTAAGTGCAAAGCTGTTCCCTTTCTGTTGCCGTAATTGTAGCTTCAATATTTGCAAAACACAACCTCAAAATGCTTTCGACTCCAGCCCAGGGCGGTGCGTTCTGCCTGCCACGCGGTTCTTCCGTGGATCGATAGTCGGAGAGAGCCTGGAGCAGGACTCTGCCTCCTTCTTCTTTCTTGCCCTTAAGGTTTTCTCCTCCTGCCTTGTGGATCCTGGGGTGATTCGGTGACACCACTGCCAAGTCCCCGTCCTTCACGGGTGCGTCTTGATTCTCCTCAGGCCAGGTGCTTCTCCGGCTCTGGCTGTGGGCTCGCCTTGTTGACGGCAAGGAAGTGTGGGCACCAGGCTGCCCTGGGCCTGCAAAATCACCCGTGAACCACTTGCCATGCAGAGAGAGTCTTGGCCGTGTGCAGAATTTCATTTGCTAAGATGAAAACCTGCAGTTTTGCTGCAAAAAGTTGCTCAGGGCGGGTGTCCACCGGGGCTGGACCCTCAGGGAGGGGGCAGGAAGCTCATGCTTCTCTCTTGAAAGAATTCACTGATGCTTTCCCAGATGTCTGCTCATTGTCTCTGTGTAGGAAACTGCACTGACAGAAAGGGCTCAGTTCGGGGGTTTTGGACAGGGCAGGGTGTTCTTCAGGATTCTGCAGGGCAAGTGGGTGTAATTTGCGTGTGAGCCTTAACTCCTTCCTCACTGCAACTCCACTCTGCATGAATCTTCCATGAACCACCCCCTCTCCCCCGCAGGCCCTCAGGACTGGAGCGAATGTGCCTAGGCCATTCTTTTTTTCCAAGCAAGTCCACATACTCAAGGCGCTTAGCATCACATCAGCAGCATCAGAGGGCAAAAGAGCCACCCACTCTTCCCCGACTCACCGCGTATCACTTTCCTTTTTATTTGGACATTTACAGTGTGTTGAAACGGACACGTTAATCATAAGCAATTATTCTTCCCTCTTCGAAGGCCAACAAAGAAATGTTTTTCTTTGAGGGTAGGATTTCCTGATTAGTACAGTAAGCCATAAGCAAATCGAGCTCAGTTATTATCTTGCATTGCAGCTCTCGGGAGAGCACAGTGACTGAGCACGCGCCCCGATGGCTTTTACCCGGTGAGCTCTGCTTGCATCTGGCGGGCGCTCTTGGAAGCACTGATCACTGTCCCATATTTAATAATTACGCTCCATCAAAAAGAAGCCCCTCTCTCCAGAAGCTACTGGAGCTTTTATTATTATTATTATTATTATTATTAAAGTCCCAGTTACCCAAAAATGCAGCAAGAAATGCAGCCCTCCCGTTCAGTGGGAAACTCAAGACCCTCAAACGTGAGCCAAGCGCCCAAACAGGCTGCGTGCGAAGCCCCAAGAGAATTCCTTCTCACGCCCAGTTTGCTGAATGGAACCCCCGGGCCTTCCCCACTCTTTCTCCAGAGGGCTTCGCTGCCAAGAGACTTTACAACAGATCACCAATGTGCTATTTGCATAAACAGTCCCCATTACAAATGCTCTTGTTTTTGTTTAAATGGGTATTTTTAACCTGAGCTATTAATAAAACATTTTTTTCTTCCTTGTAAAACTTGGCCTCCAGAAGAAAGAAGTCTTTGAGTTTCTCCTCTTGTCAGAATAACTTCGCCTCACACCGGCCGACCGTGCTGTGTGAGCACAACCAGGGCTCATTAAGTAGACTTCTGAGAAGAATTATTATTCACAATTAGCTAGAAATTAGTTTTAATGGTTTGTTTTATATGGGAGAAGAGATGCATAATGCAATTATTTTTAAACCTTTTACATCGTTAAGGACACAGTTACCACTAACTTGCAATTCCCGGGAAGCTCCTCACCTTCCCCAGCACTTAGTTTAAGGATCTACCTACAGAGCCAGGTCAGGGACCCCCGGGGCTGCCCCCTTCGGGGTTTCCCCTTACTGAGTCTCTTGCAAAGACTCTCCTTGGCCACGCTGCTGTGCTCTGCGGTCTCGTGCCTGGAGACAATCTCCACAAAGGAAAACAAAGAGTCGATCTGTTTGGACTTCTGGCAGGGCACTCTGCCCTCCTCTGCACGCCCCCAGAGCACAGTGGGAGGGTGACCCCCCCCCCCAGGAAAGATGCATCGCCTCGCCTGGACCCTGTGGGCCAAGGGCTGGGGCCGGACTCAGATGAGATCTGCACTTCTCCCCTGCTCACTGCGCTTTGAATATTCCTGTCGACTTGGATCTTATTTGGGCCACAAATTTTTTTTATTTGAATTACTATGGAAACCTGGGGAAAAAATGCTTTTACATGTCCTATGAAATATAAAAATATTCATCAAAAACAGTGAAGATTTGTTCTTGTCAAAAAGGCTCCTTGCTTGCTAGCTAGCTTCCTTCCTTCCTTCCTTCCTTCCTTCCTTCCTTCCTTCCTTCCTTCCTTCCCTCCCCCCTCCCTGCCTCCCACCTTCCCTCCCTCATCCCGCCCTCCCTCCTTCCTCTTTAACCCAGGCTCTCCGCTCTCCCACCCCGAGCAGAACCCATCACACTTTCTGCTGCCGGCTCCCAGAGGCGGCTCCGGGCTGCGTGCCGACGCCCACGTAGAAGACCTGGTAGCGGTGTTTCCACATCACAAAGCAGGCCAGCAGGCACACCAGGCCGCCCAGCGAGTTCAGCACCACCTGGGCCAGGAAGAAGAGCTTGAGCGTGTCCGTGATGCTGCTGCAGTCGCTCACGTCGCGGTAGACGAAGGCCCGGCTGAGGCGCTCGGCCGAGGGCAGCGTGCAGCGGCAGGCGCCGGGCAGGGCTTCGCAGGACAGCTGCATGAGCTGCACCGAGCGGTGGGCAGCGAAGGCGGCCGCCACCACGCACACCACCAGGCCCAGCGCGCTCAGCAGGAAGTACAGCAGCTGAAAGGAAGCACAGGGAAACTCGCCGGTTATGAAGAACGTGGACCTTGAGGGCTTGTTTGGAGGTTCTAGTTTGGGCTGGAGCGATGGCACGGTGGGTAGGGCGTTTGCCTTGCACGTGGCCAACCCAGGTTCGATTCCTCCACCCCTCTCCAAGTGCCCGGCAAGCTACTGAGAGTATCTCGCCCACACGGCAAAGCCTGACAGGCTCCCCGTGACGTATACGATATGCCAAAAACAGTGACAACAAGTCTCACAATTTGTTGTGAGACGTTACTGGTGCCCGCTCAAGAAAATCGATGAACAACGGGAGGACAGTGCTACATGAAGAACGTGGCAGGCCTGCGGGCCAGGCCCGAGAGGGAGACCGTTGTTGGTCCTCTCTCTCTCTCAGGAGACTGTGCTTGGGGCACCGGAGACAGGCAGTGCGACAGCCTTCCTTTCCCCTTTCCCCGGGGTTCAGTTGATGTACAGATGTTGGCTGCTTCCCGAGGGCAGAGCCGGCCACAGTTGTTGCACTGTGGGATGATCATGTAAGGATAAAGTGGGTGGGGCCAGATCTATAGCACAACGGGGAGGGCATCTGCCTTGCACGTGGCTGACCCAGGTTCGATTCCCAACATCCCATATGGTCCCCCGAGCACCACCAGAAGTAAGAGTAATTCCTGAGTGCAGAGCCAGGAGTAACCTCTGTGCATCGCCGGGTGTGACCAAAAAAAGAAAAAAAGAGATGCCCCATACTGAATATCACCAGGGCACCCCAGATGGAGTAGGTGCAGTCTCCCCGCCTACTCCAAATGGAATTCTGGGGACCAAGATCTTCCACAAGCAAGGGCCAGGTATGCAAGTTCAGGACAAAATCTTCAGGCCTCATGGCAGCAGAGGACCTGGGCTGTCCCTCCCCTGGTCCCCGCCTGCCCAGCAGACTGGCTGTCACACCCACAATTTGCCTCCAGAATCCATCTTAGCGCACCAACAACCCAGGCCAAGCAACGCCCAATTGAATCCCAAAATGGATTAGTGCCACACAGAGATGTCTCTGGAACCCAGCTATTTACAATCTAGAAATTCATATTTATAATTGCGGCTGTACGAGCTCTTATGATATTCAAAATGGGCTATGGAAAATAAATTATCTAGTGTCTCACCCTGGCAGGTAGGCTTGAATAGTGGTGGGAAAATTTGAGCAAAACATCACGGTCACGGTCCTCCCGTTGTTCATCGATTTGCTCGAGTGGGCCCAGTAACGTCTCTATCGTGAGACTTGTTGTTACTGTGTTTGGCATATCGAATACGTCACGGGGAGCTTGACAGGCTCTGCTGTGCGGGCGAGATACTCTCGGCAGCTTGCCGGGCTCTCCGAGAGGGGCAGAGGAATCGAACTCGGGCCCAAGGCCATGTTGGCTGCGTGCAAGGCAAACGCCCTACTGCTGTGCTATCGCTCCAGCCCGAGCAAAACATAATGCCCCAAATTAGAGAGAGAGAGTATTGGGGAAATTGTCTGCCACAGAGGCAGGGTGAGGACTGGGATGTGGGTGATCAAAATGTGTGCTGGTGGAGGGAGGGGTGTTCCATCATTGTATGGCTGAATCTCAAACATGAAAGCTTTATAACTCTATCTCACGGTGATACAATAAAATAAAAAAGTAATGTGGAGTTCATGGTCAATTCAATCCGTTTAATCAATGGCTGAACAAATAGCGGTACTCCTACATTATTTTAAAAAAAGGACAAAGCAAGTGGCTTAGATGGACCCCAACATGAGAACCATTCCGGGGAAACTCGCTCTACTTGTTGGGACTCAAGAAAAGCCGGTAGGAAACGGGGGCTGGAGCCATAATATGGTGGGGAGGGCGTCTGCCTCACACGCACCCAACCCGTGTTCGGTCCCCAGCGTCCCCTATGGTCCCCCAAGCACTGCCAGGAGTAATTCCCGAGTGCAGGGGAGTTACCCCTGAGCATCGCTGGGTGTGGCCCAACATTCAAAAAATAAAAAAAGAATAAGAAGTAAAGAACAGTTTCTGCGTTTGGTATTAGCCATACAGGCCAGGGTGGGGAAAATGGCAAGACGGCTTCAGTTCAGCGGCCGGCTGGCCCAGGGAAGCCTCCCTCCCCGATCAGTGGGGGCTGGACAAAGACACAACCGTGGCTCCAGAAGGGCGTGACCTGGCGTCAGCCCCCTCTGAGGCCCAACTTCAACTGCAGGCAGACCCTCCACGGAGGAGTCGGCTCCCAGGGGCCCGCCGCACCCGAGCTCTCGACCCTGTAAGCCCACAGCAAGGACCCACTCAAGTGCCACAGCCCCCACGCCAAGGAGCGGATTGGTGAAAGCGGCACCCACAAAGGAGAGTCAGTTCCAGGTTCAGCGCAAAGAGAATCTGAATAGATCATGCCCCGCCACCTCCAGTCACATGCAGTCTGAAATAGAACATGTGTCTCGATGAATGTGTAGACGACGGACATGCCCAAATGAATCATTTGCCATAGCCATAATGTCTGGCACTTTTAAGTCCTAACTAAAAGAATTCTTGAAATTTTAGGTTCTGTATTTGAGTGGAGACCAGTTGTAGTTACTGGTTTTGGCATATCGAATACACAGCGGATAGCTTGCCAGGCTCTTCTAAGGTGTCGAAAATCAGATGGGCTGGTCACGTAATGAGATTTAAAGACGACCGCTGGACTAGAGCTGTTACCGACTGGATTCCACGGGATGTCAAGAGACCGCGTGGCCGCCCACCTACCAGATGGTCAGACTTCTTCCTGAAGATCATGAACGGTCGGTTTGAGGCCCTTCATGTTCCCGGAGCGAACAGATGCCATTGGGCTACACTAGCACGCGACAGGGACAAATGGAGACGTTATTGGCGCCTGCTCGAGCAAATCGACGACAAACGGGAAGTTAAGTGATTAAGTGATTAAGTATTTGAGTGGTGTAAGTGAGTGTACACACACACACACACACTCATACATGTTCACGTATTCACATACTCTCACACACATATGTACTCATGCACATTCTCATTCACGTACTCACACACTCTCATGTTCACACACTCATAAACACTTTCCCACATATACACACAATCACACTCACACACATGCACACACGCTCTTAGACACATCCACAGAATCACATACGTTCGCACTCATACATACTCATACGCACTTTTTCATATATACACACAGACATTCACACCCATACGTACTCAAACACTCCTACTCACATACTATTTTTTTTCACACACACATGATAGTGGGTCCCCAAGCTGATGTCTGGTTTGATGATAGGTTTGAGGTCACAGGAAGTGAGTGGTCCTGGTTACAGTCATTTGCCTTAATACAAAACCACACAATGCTTATACCTGTAGAATCTTCTCATCAAAGACGCTTCAACATATACATGAATTATTTATGGGGAGGGGAGGGAGAAGCTATACACAGCTGTGCTCAGTGCTGACTCCTAGCTCTGTGCTCAAGGATCACTCTTGGCAGTGCTCAGAGGACCATATGGGATGCTGGGGATCGAACCCAAGTCGGCAGTGCTCACGGCAAGTGCTCTAACTCCTGTACTGTCTCTCTGACCATATATATGATTTTTAAAATATTAGAATCTTTGGAAGGATTATCAGGATAATTTGTTTTTTCACCACCCGAGGAGATATCTCAAGAACCTAATGAGGACAAACATGTTATACTTAACATGTTTAATCTCCCTGGAGGAAGGGAACCAGATAAATACAAAGTGGCACAGCTGGAGCGATAGCACAGCGGGTAGGGCGTTCGCCTTACAAGCGGCCAACATGGCCGACCCGAGTTCGATTCCTCCGCCCCTCTCGGAGAGCCCGGCAAGCTACCGAGAGTATTCGATATGCCAGACACAGTAACAACAAAGTCTCCAATGGAGACGTTACTGGGCCCGCTCGAGCAAATCGACGATCAACGGGAGGGCCTTTACCTTACCTTACATTATAAAAATTTAAGATGGGAATATTAAATGTGTGTTGCTGGATCCGTCACTTAGCCCTATGCTTAATATTTTCAGTGGTCATCTTCTCTTCAAAAATTGGAGTGTTGGGGCTACAAAAAGATGGGTTTGGGGTTGGAGCGATAGTACAGCGGGTAGGGCGTTTGCCTTGCACACGGCCGACCCAGGTTCGATTCCTGGCATCCCATATGGTCCCCCAAGCACCGCCAGGAGTAATTCCTGAGTGCAAAGCCAGGAGTAACCCCTGAGCATCGCCGGTGTGACCCCCAAAAAAGAGAAAAAATGGAGTGTTGGGACTATAAAAATATGGGTTTGGGGCTGGAGCGATAACACAGTGGGGAGGGTGTTTGCCTTGCACCCGGGCGAATCGGGTTTGAGTCCCAGCATCCCAAAGGGTCCCCTGAGCACCACCAGGAGTGACTCCTGAGTGCAGAGCCAGGAGGAACCCCTGTGCATGGACAAATGTGACCCAAAAAAGCAAAAGGAAAAAAAAGAATGCGTTTATTTTGTAGGGGCTGCTGGGGAAGAATATTCCAGATATTCTGGGTTGCTGTGAAGTGCCCCAGTCGGACACCTGACTTGGCCTCTTGCCGCTGAGTGAAATGGTGCTCATCCTGGTGTGTGGGGGCTGTGTTGGCGGTGCTCCCAGAGTAGAGTTGATGTTCTTTGCCCTACGAACTCGGATACGTCAATGACTTTACCAGCAGTGAAAGCACCACTGAAGGTGATGGGGTCCCAGGGGGACCAGCCGCTCGGTGCAACAGACCCAGTTGGAGTCTTCGCTTTTCCTCAGCATCAGTGGCTGGAACTGAGGAGGGTCTCCAGGAACCCTACATCCAACACACGCGCACGCAGGGTGGGTTGTGGCAACGCCAGCGGCACGGTGAAAGTGAGTCCTCATTCCCGACCTGTGAGTGAGTCTAGGAGCTGATTCGCTCACAGTCACCCACAAAACCCATCAGTGGGAACGAGACTTCTGTCTCAAGAAGGCGAGCGTTGGACCATTTCACTCACA